GAATACCTTTTTAAATGTCCGATGTTTATCGTTGATATTAAATTCAATTCGCAAGAAAAAATTCTAAAAATTTCAAAAAACAATGATCCATATTCTTAGCTATAAGATTAATTAGTAACACATTTGCTGTTTTATTAACACATTATGAACTTTTATATGTAGCAACTTTTGATAGTTATTTTCGGATTTTTTAATTATTGCAGTTTTAAGATCTAATTTGAATACCTTATCAACAGGAACACGTGACTGATCCTCAAATTTCGCTAAAGTATCGTCAATTTTATTTGAAGTGTAATTTCTCTACGTGTGGATATTTAATTTTAACAAAAAATATATCATATGATAGCCCTGATTTAGGGAATCTAATAGAAAAAAGTTTGTACAATTTAGATATTTTATGTTAGAAAATTGATTTAATATTCATAAATATAAAAACTCACTCTCTGCAATATAATATGAATTATCATTAATAAGAAATTTAATTTTGATGTTAACCTGATTTAAAATATTTACAAATTTAAATACTCACCCCCTGTAATATAGTATGAATGATGAATAATTAGAAAGAGTTATTTTATTTGATGTTAAGTTATTTGAAATATTAATTTTAATAATCATAAATATAACACTCACGAACTGTAATATAATACAAATATAAATAAGTAATAATTAATTAAAAAAAGTGTTATTTGATATATAATGTTAATAAAATGGAATGACATTTATTGAAAAAATGAAAAATGTTAATACAATTTAATGATCATAAATATAAATATCACGGACTGTAATATTTGTTAACAAAAATTGAATAATAATTAATTCATTTGATGTTAAATTGATTTGAAACATTTATTTTAATAATTATGAATATAAATACCAACTGAAATATAACGTAAATATAATTGAATTATGATTAATAGTTGTGTCGTTTGATATAAAATTGATTTAAAGCATTTATTTTAATAATCACGAATATAAATACTCACACACTGTAATATTATGTGAATAAAAAATTGAATGACAAAGTGTTGTTCGATGTTAAATTGATGTGAATCTTTGATATTAATAGTTTTGAATATAAATACTCACTGACTGTAATATCATGTCAATAAATTGAATGATAATTAATTAGAAAGTGTCATTTGATGTTAAATTGATTTGAAACATGGGTTTAATAATCGTAAATATAAATACTTACATCCTGCAATATAGTATGAACACAATATAGAATGATAATTAATCAGAAAGTGTTATTTGATGTTAAATTGATTTGAATCATTTATTTTAATAATACTCACCAACTATAACTTATTTTTAATGAATTATCATTCAATTTCACATTAAGATGTTACATTGTTCTAAGCATTTATTTTAATAATTGTGAATATTAATACTCACTAACTGTAATATAATGTGAATAAAATTGAATTAAAAAGTGTTGTTCGATGTTAAATTAATTTGACGCCTTGATATTAATAATTTTGAATATACAAAAATACTCACACCCTATAATATTTGTCAATAAAATTGAATAATAATTAATTAAAAAATGTTATTTGATTTGAAACACTTGTTTAATAATCGTAAACATAAATACTCACACCCTGAATTATAATGTGAATAAAATTGAATAATAATTAATCAGAAAGCGTTATTTAATGTTAAATTAATTTGAAACTTTGATATTAATATTAATGAATATAAATACTCACAGACTGTAATATCGTAAAATAGAATTGAATGATAATTAATTAGAAATCATTATTTAATGTTAAAATATTGATTTTATAATCATAAATATAAATACTCACTCCCTACATATAATAAGTACAATTGAATGACAATCAATCAGAAAGTGTTATTTGATATAAATTGGTTTGAAACATTAATTTTAATAACGAAAACTTTAAATCACATCAGTGGTGTTGAAACTATATTCTATATCGCAGGGTTAGGGTTAGTGTTTTACAATGGTAACGTATTTATCACCCACACCCTTCTTGTCACCTTATATTCATCATTTTAAATTTTCACACTTGAAATAATTTTGATCATTTGAATATCATGTGTTCTATTTTTATTGGTTGATAATCACACCACTGGTGTGATTTAACAAATAATTAATAAATATATACCAGCTGTAATGTAATTAATTAGTAAGTGTTATTGACATTAACTTAATTAATTTTAATAATTATGAATATAAATACTTACCCACTGCAATTTAATGTAAATAAAAATTGTTGATAGTTAATTAGAAAGTAGTATTTGATGTTAAATTGATTTGAAGCTTTGATATTAATGATTATGAATAAAAATACTTACCGACTGTAATAAATTATGTCAATAAAATTTAATGATAATTAATTAGAAGTTATTTGATGCTAAACATTGATTTAATAATTGTAAATATATATACTCACCCGCTGTAATATAATGCGAACACAATTGAATGATAATTAATCAGAAAGCGTTATATTTGATATTCAATAATAATCAATATAAATACTCACCAACTGTAAAATAATGTTAATAAAATTGAATGATAGTTAATTAGAAAGTGTTATTTAATGTTAAAATATTGAAAAAAAATCAAAAAAATAAATACTCAGGACTGTAATATATTATGAATACAATTGAAAAATAATTAATTAGAAAGTGTAATTTGGTGTTAAATCGATGCGAAACATTAGTTTAAATAATCATAAATATAAATACTCACCAACTGTAATATCATGTCATATTATTATAATTAAATGATAATTAATGAGAAAGTGTTATTTAATGTTAAAATTATTCGAAACTTTGATTTAGTAATTAAAAATTTAAATACTCACTGACTATAAAATCACGTTATAAAAGTGAATGGTAATTAATCAGAGAATATTAAATTGTTTTGAAGCGTTGATATTATTAATAATGAATATAAATACACACCTACTATAAAATTATGTTAATACAATTTAATGACAATTAATTGGAAATGTTATTTAATGTTAAAAATTGACTTAATAATCATAAATATAGATATTCACAAACTGTAATATAATATGAATACAATTGAATAATAATTAATCAGAAAGTGTTTTTTAATGTTAAATTGATTTGAAACTTGATATTAATGATTATGAATATAAATACTCACCGACTGTAATATCATGTGAACAAAATTGAATTATTAGATTTGAAGCTTTTACTATTTTCAGAGATTTTTCGATTGTCTTCCAACTCTTGGCCAAGATGACATAACTGAGAACGGTCATTAACATCGGGAATTCTATTCTTTATGTACCTAATGATGTCTGTGTGTTTAACTTCAAGCTTTAAGATTCTTTTAGTACCCATAGTTCTGTGATTAATTTCCATATTAATTTGCACATTTCGCGAAGCAAATATTTTAAATGAATTGTGGATTCCTTTTCAATATCATAATGAGCAATTGTATTGTTGTCATCAAGAATTTCTCCAAAGAAATAAAATCTTTGAACGTTTGGAGGAATTCCATGAAGTTCTTCAATAAATTGTTTTATCTTTAAAATTTTGTCAGAAGGTTCAATTTCAATTGAAATTGGTTGTCCCTTCAAGGCTTTTACATAAATTTTCATCATAAAGAGGAGCGGAATGAAATAATGTAAGTTTTAGATGATCTGATCCTTATTTATTCAAAAATCGGATTATTTTTCTTTTGCTCCATTTTGAAAAAAACGATCAATATCAATATTATGTAATCGGATTATTTTTCATTTAGAAAAAAATGTTATTTAAAATAATGTAAGCGCTCATTACTTAAACTGAGATAACAATAATTTAATAGCTTTTTCGGTTTATAGTTTCAATATTGGAAACGATAAAATTCTTAAATAATTTCTATCTTTATTTTAATGGATAATATATATTAAATTAGGATCATAAATATCAAAATAGTTGAAAAAAAAATTATTACAATCTTTGATATCTATTTATAAATTGCAATCTGTAGATTCCTTCTGAATTTTGTAATAACCAAGGGTCCTACCATTCTCAAGTTGTTTACCCGCCAAAACTGAGTTGTTGTTGGTCAAGTGGAATATCTCTCTTTTCCTGAAATAATTTCTTAACTCTATAAACCGTAAAACTTGATTCTACTTGCAACGTAGTAATTTTTCCAATTTTATATTTTGCGTCCATATTCTTTACGTAAATTTGATAACTGCCACTTTCGATATTAGAATTATTTTAAAATTTATAGTTGAGTCATCTTGGATATTATAATCAGAAGGTTTTTTACGATGACCTAATTCGAGCGTAGGCATTAATATCGGGAATTTTATTCATTATGCCTTTGATGGTGTCTATGTATTTAAATTTAATCTTCATGATTCTTTTAATACCCATAGTTCCTCGATTATTTTTCAAATTAATTTCCACATTAATTTACATCTTTTCGCGAAGCAAATATTTTAAATGAATGGTGGATTCATTTTGAATGTCAAAATGAGCAATTGTATTGTCGTCATCAAGAATTTCTCCAAAGAAATAAAATCTTTGAACATTTGAGGAATTCCTTGAAGTTCTTCAATAAATTGTTTTATCTTTAAAATTTTATCAGAAGGTTTAATTGAAATCGAAATTGGTTTTCCTTTCAAGTTTTTTACATAAATTTTCATTCTTAAAAATAGTAAAGCGGAATGAGTAAGCTTAGGATGATCAGATCCTTATTTATCCAAAAAAACTGGATTGCTCTGTTCCATTTATAAATTTACGAAAAATCAAAGAGGCTATTATAACGAACGGTATTTTATTTGTAATTTTTTAAGCATTCATTACAAGGATATATGTATAGCATCAACCTTACAAACTAAATTTGCCTTTATTCTGCGCTCAGTTGGCTATTCTAAATACAAAAGAGTACTCAGATAATCTATTTTAATTGGAAAATGGTACGTTGCCTTTATTAATAAAGTCTTGGTAATATATCACGTAATACACATAAGAACGTTACTTTTTTTTTTTTTTTGATTTCAATAATTATAAGTATCCCATTCTGATTCTGTATATCCATTAGCACCTTGATCCTCTTCATCTAACGATATCAAAGGTATGCCATCATTTGAAAATAAATTCTCCGTGTCATTGTTCGGATTATTTAAAAGTTCATGATGAATTATATCGTCAAATTGTCTCTATTATATTTATAGAATTTTTAGTAAAAATTTTATCGACTTGATTGTGCTGTTTGCGTAGTAACTACTAAAGACATACCAATTTTGCATCATCGATCCATCTTCCAACCAACGCATAACGTTCTTCATGTGACATTTCAAAATATTGTGATAATGTTGTAGCGGTAAGAATAATTTGTGCAGTAAATGGATTTATGAGAGGACTGAGGCATGATAGAAATCTTTCATGCTTTAATTATTATTATTTTCAATTAAATTATAAATTTTAATGTCAATGACTTAAATAAAATTCATTAGTTCAAATGGTAAAAAAAAATAATTAATTACCAAACTTTCTTCCATGGTCATCCATTCTCTGTCTTCCCACTGTTGTTTATCTTTCCATCCTTTATTTTCTATTGAGTCATCTTCACAGTTTGTAGCACAAATATCTCCTACCATTCTTGCCAACCGAGCTGAAATTTCTTCACACGGTGAAAACATTATATGTGTATCACACGACATGTATTTTAGAATAACTTGCAATTCAGCAAGCGCTTTTAAGACAGGCATTGTATAAGCATACGGAAGAATATCATTGCTGGTCACACGACGACGATTCCAAGTATAATTCTCAAAGATTAAAAAGATACTCGAATATTTTTGGTGAAGACGCACCAAAGTTTGAGCAACGTCATGAACAGAATGTTCTTGAGAGATTAAATTGAGTGGATAATAGATGATACCAGTATTTTCGTCGATTATTAGATCACATTCTACATTAAATGTCTCAGATTCACTATCTAATAAAAATGGCTTTATACAAAACTAAGATATAAATAAATTAATGAATCCATGGGATTGGGTTATCAAACGATACTTACCCTCATAAATTCAAAATCCCTTTCTATAAGTTCCACCTTGCAATCGTCCCCTTTTAAAGCAATCAAGAATCCACGATTTACCAACATCCGAGCCGAAATTATATATTTGTGAGTATTTATGGGCATTGATAAACTATCGATTATGGCTTTTGCCATTGAAACTAAAAATAAAATCAAACTTTTAAATGAATACTTGCATTAAACTTGATTCTTTTAAAATAAACTATAATACTATACACACCATCACCCAGTGAATGAACGAGTGACCAACTATGGCGATCATTTTGAGTCATATTTTCACTCAAAATCAAACTCAATGCATTATTGTTGGTAGAAGCTGTATAAATATTTTATTCTCGTGAATAATAATTTATAAAATTATTATAAAATACATTATTAAGTTTACCTTCATCATTTCTATTAGAATCGATATTACGACGTTTATTTGGTTCCATCTTCCCTCTTAATATTAAAAAATCATCAATAGATTTTGATGCTGAGAAAAAATTCATGTTCGACTTCTTCAGATTTGGAGAACTTGATTCTTTATAATTTCCTGTTAAATTTTCATTATCAATTAAATCACAATTATTATTATTATAGTCATTTGAACTATTCAATTCGGTGAAGTCAGTTGAATTATTTAAGCCGACAAAATCATATTGTGTTTCGTCTGTATCATCCACGGAAATTTGTGAACTCTCAATCGAAAATTCATTACTCTTGACATTTTGCAAGAAATTTTTAAAAGAATTATTTTGAATTTTCAAATTTTGATCATGGCAAAATGTGGTTTGGTCCTTGTAATTTTGGGGAACTTTAAAAAAATTTTCCACAGTCGAAGCTTCATCATTACAGGTTGACGGATTTCTGAAAAATTCGGATGCATGTTCAACTGTTGAATTTGAAAATACATTATTTTTATCATTCTGATCAGTAGATGTTTCGTCGAGATTTTTCGGGGAAGAAAGATTCTCAATTTTCTTGTTAAACCCATCAGAGAAAATGTTTCTACTTTGGGAAGCGCAATTGTTATATCCTGAGATCTCATCAGAAGGTTCGGAAGTCAAATCAATAATCTCGATTGATCTTTCCAAATTATTACTTCCTGAAATATTTTTTTTAATAGTGAAATCATAATTACAGTCGTTAACGAGCCATTCTGATATTTTGTCTTTAATACTTAACACAGGAATATTATCCGTGACAAGTTTAGATGATGACATGCCATTATTTCTTTTCCATCGTGTTGTGTCGCCAGCTATTCTTGTTATTCCAGATTTTTGAGACATCATATCAGTTTGTAATAAATCACGTATATCTGCGGACTCACCAGCAACATCTTTTTCATTACAACTATATGAGTGATGTGAGTTATGATGAGAAATGTTATCCTTAAGTTCCATTTTTTTTAGTTGATAATCAAACTTTCTTTTTTCTTTTCTCGATCTCAATGGACTTTCCAAAGTATTTATGATAAATTGTGCATCTAAAATTTCTAAAGTATCGTCTCCACCTTTACCACAACAACATAAATCTTCGAATTCTCTCTCTTGATATGCGAATTCGATATCAATGAGCATTTTGAATTCGACAAATTTTATTTTTTTAATTGGAATTGGATTCCAGTGTAAATCTAATTCTAAAACTTTCAACCCACTGATAGATGTTAATATTTTGAATTCAGAATTCACGGAATTTGAGTTTGATAAAATGTCAGCGATGCAAGTAGGGATTATATTATCTATATAAGTAATGGGATGTGGAAGATTTGGGACTACCAAGACAATGATATTTAGAAAATTATGTAATAATTACTTGAGATATTATAACGAAATGTACCTTTGAATTTCATGCCTCCAATTTCATCCATTGGCTGATGAATAATAATGGATCGCCAATTTTCAGTGGGGTTCTCGGTTTTTAAAATTGTACCAAGATCCTCTTGAAGTGTAATTTCCTCGTCTAATTTTTGTGGAATAGAGACCACAGTGTTGAGCGTTTCTATAAGAGAATCGGATCTAATGATTATTGAATTTTTTCTTTAAATAAAATAAAATAAAATAAAGAAAATTCAAAAAAATTGTGATTATATAAAAAAATTACAAGAGCAAGTCGTCATCATTATTTGATTCTTTTTCAGAATTCATTTTCCTAATTTATATTTTTAAAATAATATTAGCAAAGATATGATATATTGAAATAGTTTCTGATAAATATGGCTACTAACAGTCGTTTTCTACGATCTGGTTCTAGCGGATCACATTTTACAGGAATAAGAGCTGGTTCTGTTAAAGGGTTTCAAAAAGAGATTGGCGATGGTGATAATTTATCATATTTCAAATAATGTACATAAAACTTCAGAAACGTACCTAAACATAATGATTTCTGAAATGCCGTTGATCCGTCGAATTCTTTCGATCCACTACTTGATGTCTCTTCGGCATCAAATTTTATATCATCTATGCCTTCTTAAATAATTTAAAAATATTCGGTGAATTCGTATTTCAAAATAAAAATTTTAAAAACTATTTCAATAAAATTTATATTAATTTTATTTCATTTTTTACCCCACTCATTTAAAATTTTCAATGGCGCTTTAACTCCTGTCTCTTCAGGTACTAATTGGTCACTTTGAAGTTTTAAATCAACTTCCAATCCTTCTCTATTAACCAATGAAATAATATCTGATACATTGGTCGGTATATCTTGGTCAAGAACTTTATTTACTTTATTAACGATTAGAAGTTCTTCGAGGTACATTGATTTCTCGAAATCAAATTCTAAATCTTTGATGAACTCAAAGTCATCATGCTCTCTTGCGTCCAATGATTTAAAATATTTTGCAAGAGAGGAGATTTCTTGCGATAAGGCTTCGTGATAAAGGGGGCTAAAAAAGGATTGAATTAAAAAATGTTCGAAAAAGAAACATTTTTTAAAATAATTTAATTTAATTGTACCACAAATCCTCGATAGTAAATTGAATGTTTTCATTGATAAAAGGATCTGGCGAAACTTCATTGGTAGGTAAATTGCGTGACAAATCTTTTAAACTTTGAATAGGATATAATTCAAATTCTCTATCTTTTTCTTGTTCCATCATTAATAATCGTTTTTTCCGATTTCTCTTATAATTAAAACCAAAAAAAAAATTGGTTTGTATATGAATTAAAAGATAAAAATTTTACATAAAATAGTTTATTGCTTATAATAATAATAGTACCGTGGGAATAATTATTTGTTGAGATCTAAAGCAAAATAGTAATTTAGACTGGGAATAAAATAAAAATCGAATTTTTCAATGAATGCATTTGTTAATAATTCTTATAAAAATTTAAGATATTCAGGTTTTTTTTTTTACAAACTGAAATCTTTTAAAATATTATGCTAAATTTGTTTTAAACTATTTTCATAAATTGTTCTCACATAGAATCATTCTATGCATTTTGAATCTTGAATCTTTGCAAAACTTAATTCCTTTAAAAATTTAACTAAATGAATCGAATTACTACAAAAATAAGTCGCTATCGGTGAGGTAGAATACCTTCCTTTTCATATAATGACTCAACCTACTTGCAAAGTAATTTTTTTAAATGTCAAATTTACATAAAAGCAGTTAGGTTATAGCTGTATATTGTAATCAGAGATCATCCAATTTGGATTTTTATATTTTCACGAAAAAAATATTTTGGATATCACAGTGAGTAATGTATTGTTGTGTTGTTATCAAGAATTTTACCAAAGAAATAAAGTCTTTGAACTTTTTGAGGAATTCCTTGAAGTTCTTCAATAAATTGAATTATTTTTTAAATTGTTCTAGTAGGTTTAGAAGTCCCTTCAAGGTTTTAACATAGATTTTTCATCTTAAAAATAGCAAAATGATCCTTATTTATCTTATTTATTTCAAAAATCGGATTATTTTTCTTATACTCCATTTAGAAAAAAAAGAATCAATATTATTTAAAAGAAAAAAAATAACACAGCTACACAACGGACAACATTGCATCTCGCAAACTTAAAATTCTTCAATGCCGAATTATTTAATTAGAAGGTAAAACAGCTATAGTTACCGATTAGAAAAAATTTATTATCTATTTGAATATGTTAGAAATTTGAAATTAATTTCAATTGGTAGCTGAATCACCAAAAAAATTACATCTTCCTTCTGAATTTTGTAATGCCGCAAGGTCGAACCATCCTCAAGTTCTTTGGTAAGTTAGGTGCAATACTTTCTTTTTCCTGAACTAACTCTTTAACACTGTAAACAGTACTGTAAAGCTTGATTCTATTTGCAAAGAAGCAAAATTTCCAAATATACTGTCTAGATGAATTTGATAACTGTCTCTACAAGTTATCGTATCGTTGAATCATCCTGGATATTATAATCAGCGAGATTTCGATTTCGTCCGATTCTTGACCAGATCAAAATAATATAACCGAGCATCAATAATATCGGGAATTTTATTTTTTATGTCTCTGATGGCGTCTGTGTATTTTAATTCAATCTTCAAGATTCCTTTATTACCAAAACTTGAAATTAACCAAGAGAAACATGATACCATAGCTTCATAATTAATTTCCACATTAATTAACACATTTTCGCGTAACAAATATTTTAATATCATAATGAGAGATTATATTGTTGTCATCAAGAATTTCTCCAGAGAAATACAGTTTGAACATTTAGAGGAATTCCTTGAAGTTCTTTAATAATTTTTTTTATCTCAATTGAAATTGGAAATGGTAGTCCCATAAAGGTTTTTACGTCAATTTTCATCCTTAAAAATAGTAAAGCGAAGAAGGTATGTAAGTTCTGGATAGGATGATATCCTTATTTAATTTAATTATTTTTCATAATAGATAATGGTATCATTTTCGTGTGTGTAATTAAATAATTAATGATAAGTGAATGAATAAATGAATTTGTTTGTACAATAAATCTATTTACAGATATATAATAAATTTTAATGATTTTAATAATTTGAATAAAGCTCATTAATTTTCTTTTTCTTCACCTTCGCATCATCGACATTAATGTTAATATTAGCATCATCACCACCACCACCAACATTAACATTCGTATTACTAGTAATAGCAGCAGCGGGAAATTAATCTATCTTTTTTCGCTTCAATCATAGACAAACACCTTTAATAGATAGCGTAGCCATTCCAGCCACGTTCAAAATATCATCAATTAAATTGATTATTTTAATATGTGATATCACAATCCTTTGATTATCATATTGTAACACATTAAATAACATGTAATTATAAATTTGGGGAATTGCAATCTTTGTTTCCTCATTTTCCGCGAAAAATTCTGGAATTATCTTTTCACCAATATCCATTAAACCTTAATTTCTCTTAGTATCAATTACCATAATCATATTATCTTCATCCTCACCTTTGTAATAACAAGTGAAATCTTTGTTTTCCTTTATGATACCCGTAACTTCACAGAATCTGGCCATCAATTCTTCGGATGCCATCTGTTCAAATTAGATCAAATGTTGATACCAAGATTTTGATCGCTCGATCTTTGAATACTTGGGTAAAACTATAATTTCTTTTAACGATCTTCCAAATTCATTATTCAACTTTCGATATAAATACATGCAAGTATAAATCACTAACTTATTCTTCCCTTTAAGATTTTTTTCTCATTGGATCTTCGATATATTTGTTTGTCGTCTGAATAATTTCCGTGGGTAAATCTATCGAATTTTAAATTGATTCCAATCTCCTGAAGTACACATTCAAACTCACATTACTCTTATTAATTGTGGCTTTAAAATGTGTTAATGATGGTGATGAAGATGAAAACTCATATTAATACTTCCTTACAATAAATTAATGTATCTAAGGCTAATTATCTGTTGCTGCCTCGATAGGTGAAAGACCTTTATTTCCTTCATGATTGCTAAATGTATATCATTCGGATCTGGTAACAAATAATTTTATCAAGTACTAATCCACATTCCCACAAATCATACTATATCTTTATATGTGAAAGAAAGATGTTCTTTAGGTTATTGTCCGAAGAATAAGATTAATAATTGTTCCTTTATAGGTTGAGTTGAAATGATGTCATTTTACTTCGTTAACTACTTTTATTTCATTAGTTCTATAAATAATAATAATACGTGTGAAGTGATTAAAATGTTAACTTTAATTGGATCGATTTTATTTATCTTTTTCTTCACTCATTAAAATCAAGAAAATAGAATGGATTTATGCGAAGAATGCGATCGAAGATATTATTAATTGGAGCAAACCATGTAACTCGGAGCACTTCAAAAATAATTTCGGGAAATGAACAAGTGAAAAATAGCTATACCTCTTCTAAATGCAGATCTTCTGTGGAATGTAATAAAATGGACTTTTTTAGTTTTTATAAATTCAAAAGCATTAAGAGATTGTTAAAGGCGATTTTGGTACTATATATTATGTTAAGTGGATTGATGGATGTATTAGGGACATAAATTCTACTGTGGGAAGTGGTAGTTATACTTTTATGAAAAATTTTAACTGGAAAGACTATCACTTCGGAAATTTCACTAATTAAAAATAAAAAAATTAAGAATTTAATACAGGCAAAGGAACGTGTTCACCTGAACAACAACAGTTATTTTTGCTGGAAAACCCTGTAATATTACAGTATTCTATCTTTGAGATCCAGAAACATAAAAATTAGGGCTCCTATTTCTATAATAGCGTATTCCAAAGAATAATAGAAGTCCCAAGACAATTGCAACACCAATGGTTATCCCAACAATTGCTCCTACTGGAACAGGTGTATGTCGGTCTGATGGTGGTGACTCGGATGCTTTTTCATAATAAGAAATCCAAGTATAATTTCTGATATCAAGTATATATATACTTGAACTAGTGTTTTCTGTATCAGTAGTATTTCCTGTTCAAAAAAAAAAAAATATTTATGAAAAAGAAGATTTTTTAATTGATAAATTATTTTCAAGAATGAATGAATTACATATTTTACGTATTTTAAAATAGATTCATTAAAAAAATATTTAATAAGTTTACCAAATCCAATTATCATATAATTTGCAACCAAATTTGCTGAATGGAAACAAAGATTAGGTGGCACATTCGTTCCCAAATTTTCTAGAGAATGCCATTCAAACGAAGTTGTATTTAATACTATAAGAGAAGGGCTTATAGCTTTGCCTGATATTGATATGCCTCCATAACATATTATACGGCCATCTGGCGCTATAATAATAAAAAGGAGAGAGATTAATTGTAAAGGAAAAAATGTTAATGGTAAAGAAAGAGATCCTTATTCATACTCAGAACAGCTGAATGATAACATCGATCTTCAATATCATTTGGGGATTTAGCAATCTATTAAAAATAAAAGTACAATTATGTCTTATTATTATCTTATTTTTTTTTAAAAAAAATAAATCACAATTTATAATGAAATAATTTACAGTAGAATTCCAAGAATCATTATTTGTATCATACATTGTTATCTGGTTAAAATAAATAAATAAATAAATTTACTGATGAACAACAAAAAATTATCAAAGATTAATAAAACTTACATTATAAATTGGAATAATAGTATTAACATTTGTAATCCGAACTAGTCCTCCAATATACATTATAATACCATTTTGTAATAAGGTTGCAGTATAACCGAACATACTAGGTGGACCTTTAATAGTTGAACCATTTGAATATGTGAAGGTTATTGTATTAAAAATAATCATATCTTTAAACCAACTAGTATAATTATCGAATATATATCCTCCTCCAAACATATACATATTTCCTTTAGTATCAACAACTGCTTGCAAATTCCGACGTATAATTGGCTCTCCTTCAATTTGTGGAGTAGACCATTCTTGACTTGTTGTATCAAATGTATTAATTAATTTATCCATAATTACAGATTTTGAGTTCTTATCCTGACGTATTCCTCCAAATACAAAAATTGTAGCATTATTTTCTCCTCCTACACAAGCAGTTGCCCATGTAATTTCTACCGGCGGAGCTTTCAGATTAACATATGCAGTAGATGATACGTTAAAAGATTGATTTAAATCAAGATAAAAGAAAGAGGCAGCGTCATTTGTTGTATGTTCCAATCCTCCAATAAAATAAAGTTTTTTATCAATTAAAGCAGTTGAGTGGCCATATATATTTGGTGATTGAAAAGAATAAATTGAAATTATCCATAACTGTGAGACAATAAGAAAATAAATAAAATATACGATATTTATTTTCGTTATCTTCATTTTTCTACTATTATTTCGATAAAGCAGAAAAAAATTAAATAATAATTAATTCTATGAATTAAACAATAATAGTAAATTTGTACACGCATTTCACGTTTCACAACACAGTATTCGCGCATCACAACACTAACAATACAACATTCGTAAATTTTGGGAAAATCATTGTTAATAAATTTCCAAATAGTTACACGAAATCATAAGTTAATAATCAAGTGATCAAACTTTAAATTTATAATAGTTCTTTTTTTTTGATTTCACTCTTTAACTTCTGGAACAAATAAGGTCTTAGTGCTGGTCAATACTTTTTGCAATTTAAATTGAGCAATTTGAGAAAACAAATTTCTTTATGAAAATTTTAATTTATTCGGCTCTATCAAATTCTAACCAAATATAATCATCTTTTTTTAAAAAAAAAACCCAATGGAGTCTTGCTCCAATAAACTTTCATTAATAAATTTGGTGTAAATTTTAAAGATACAAATAATTTATTTTGCATTTATTGAAACTGACTAAAAATGACATTTTACTTTATGACTCATCATTGCCTAAGTGTAACCTCAGGAACTGATAGCCAAAACCCCATCAGATGTAATTATTATATATATAACTATAATTATTATTATATTTGCTTCCTAAGTTAATCCACATTCTAAATTTATGTATCATGTTCTTTTCTATTTATTCTATTTTACTGTATTTCCCTTCATTAGTTTCTACTAACTTTATACTGTCATTATATTCTCTTATTTTCCTCACCTTTT